TAGATTAAAACCATAACCGTTACGTACAATGTGTTAGCGACGATCGATACCAGACGGGGGTGGGTGGGGGTGTTGTACTTCATATGGGGCCCACCTAGATAATGTTGGATACGGGCCTATTGTTGTGTTGTTACGCCATTGGGACTGAGTAACATTCAGACTAAGAGCGGATTGCTAGTCTCTGTTAATGTCAGACCACAATCATAAGCAAACCTCGCCTGGACTAAGGAGAAACTGATACTTTGCTTAAGCCAGACCAGAGGGATAGAGATACCTAGAAAGAAAGATAGTGTTCTTGGAAAATGTAATTGTTCATCTTAAACAGTATAAACATATTGAACACAGACATTTCATCCTTTGTCATTTTATTTTGTAGTTAAAGATAAAATAAACATAAGCTATTCCATAAAGCTACATTTAAACATGATCACAGTAATGTTCTAGTAACCAGGAGAAAAAAAGTAGGGTTTATTAGTGTTTAAGGAACGTATAATATGCACTATAATCTTGCTGAAAGACAGTAAAACCCAGCGTAACAAAACATGCTCTTGGTGATAAACAGCCGTCATTTGTGTGAAACATCCAACAAGCAGAAAATATCCATCAATTTGCTTTGAATGTTGACTTTGTTAACCCATCTTTTAAACTTTGTTAAATTTGCAGCATTTTTTTTTTTTTACTTTGCATGGATGAGCTCCTATTTAGCACACAGCCTGTTGCAGTCTGGTAATAACCTGCTGCTACATACAGTAGCAGCAATCCTCTATTCTTATTCAGACCTGCCACAGGGAACTGCCAACCCCACCAAAAATGGACAAAGATGTGACAAACTTAGACATAAAACTCATGATTGGTGTGTGATCACCTGCTGCTGTCTGAAAAAGCCAAGGCAGCTGACAAGACAGGGAAGAGTTACACATGAAGGCAAATAATATGATGGCAAACAGACCACCTAATGTGCAGCTGTTGAAACCTTTTGGGATGAAATGACTGGGTTTATGAGATATGTGACCTCCTGGCGGGGGGGTACGGTCTGACTTGCATGTCTAACCTGTGCTAGATCTCTTTCTTGTTTCAATTTTCTATAAAAGCTTGGTGACTGGAAGTGTAGCTGGTCGCTTACTGATAGTACATGTTCCGCTTCTATTGGCTGTCATCACACAACATTTAAGTGAGCAGTTTTTTTTTCTGTATATCCATTCCAGCTGTCCAATGTGTAAAATAATGTATGCTCTTAAATCTTATTGTAGTTGTATAACTTGCAAAAACAAAGGCCAAAACTTTATTTGGGGATTTAGTTAGATTGATGAAAACAAAATAGTGGACCAAGGTAAAGTAGAAGAAAGCATTTCATCACAAATATAAGTTAAATTTAAATGTTTTACCAAAAATTTTTTTTTAGCGCACTTTTTGTTGTATATCGTATTTTTTTTAAGGAGTTTAAAGTGTAACTTATTGTCAGTCCCTCTAAACATGACTTTGTGTGGTGGAAAATGAAGATGGCATATCATCACACCATCCTCATAGTGATGCATGGTGGTGACAGTATCATGCTGTGGTGGTGCTTTTTTTCCAGCAGGGACAGGAGAGCTGCATTATCTCTTTTTAATAATTTTTTAACTCAACAAGTTTAATAGAATTTTTCTTGCTATTCTTTCTATAATCTATTTTAAGCCATTTTTATTTTCAACTTTAATAATTCCCTCTGCGTTTTTTACCTTTAGTCTTTGTCCTTAAAACTAATATATAGGCAGTGTTTAGTGGAAACCAACCTACTACTAGGGGCTTCTTAGCAATAAATCCAGTCTTTAATGTTTAACGAGTATTCTGATTTGTTACATTTATTTCTGTACAAGGTTGAAAACTCCAAACACAAACAGCGCCTTGTTTGGAAATGCCATAAAAGAATTTTTCCCCTTAGGCTGACTCTGAAACTTTTCTAAAGATTAAGAAATCATATCTAGACTCTTTGTTCTATAGATTCTTGTCTTAATTTTACAGTCATGCTGTTAAAGAAAATCTATGGGTGTGTAGAATGAGAAGATTTTTCATAACTTTACTCTTGTAGAGTTTTATCTGTGTATGTGAGTATGTGGTACTGAATTTGTTCTGGGCATTCCTGGTGCCAGGTCTCACTATGGAAATAGAAACTGCTCTCTGGGTGTTCGGTGTGCGAGGGGGCGAGATTTAGCCTAGCTTAATGCCAAGAGTTTTCGCTTTAGATAACACATGCCTTCTAATTAGCCTGATCGGACTTGTGCATTGAAAGAGCTTGGTACATTTCTGTTTGGAGTCACTCTGAAAAGCTTCCTGGGCTGTCCGTCTCTCCGGCAAAGACAGGATAACAGACAATCAATCAAAGCTGGCAGTGAAGAGCGACTGAATGGGGGAATAGATTCTCCGCTGTGCCGAGGGGATGTGAAAGACTCTCAAGTAAATGGCTGCTGCTGAGAGGATGGGCTCTGAGAAGAAGTGCATCGGCATGCACGAAAAGGACCATGTGATAGCTTCGTAAGAAGCTTTGTAGAGTGTTAGAAACATGCACTTGCACACATAAACTCGTAGAAATGTTTCCAGATGCTGGCATGTGGAATTATGTCAGGAGGAATTTTTATCTACACACTGATCTGACCTCTTTTCCTCCTCCAGGCCACTCTGGCAGTCCCAGAGTGAAACTCAGCTTTCATCCAATAGATTAGTGAGGTACAGCAATGGGGTTCATTATTATTCCACTGATTTCAGATAGATCTTTGGTTCATAAGTGTGAACAAATTGCAGGTTAGACTGCCATAATCTGTGCAAATCTCCTTGGATTGTTATGTTCATATAAACACATCACATGTTATTATTACTATTGTTATTCACAGCTGTGTTTGGACACTGTTTCATCATGACTAAGCCTTATCTAACAGAGTCAGCAGACTGCCAGCTGGCAGACATTCTCCCTGACAGCAGGTAGTTGCAGAGTTGCAGGTGGAAGCAAAAAACTTTGATGGACCTTTGCTGGAAGTAATTATTGGGTCTTTTTCCTCTTTGCTGTCAGATTTGCTGGTTGAGTGATTGTTCATCTTTTTAGCAAGTTTCTGTGCTGCAGGTGTAGATGTCAGAAAAATCAACAGATTATTTTCAATATTTTTTCTCAAATCAGAGATGGTATATTGTATATATGTAGATTTACACTTTAACAACATCTCTCAATGCCCTAATGCCTACAGGTCTGTTGGTGGATGCTCCATATTGTCACATGTAGGATGTTTTCTGTGCCCATTATGCCATGCAAAATGGTTAGACTTATTGTCCCGATGTGAGGACATCTACTGTACATCCCCATCTGAGGATGTTCACAGAATCCACCTGGATTTCCTCGTCCCTGCTTAAGTAATGCATAATTCCAGCATGTTACCATCCCAACCATGATGGTCTCTGACTTTATTAAAGTAAAGTAGGTACTTCACTTATTGTGTATGAGGTTACATTTCTGTCACAATTAAGTAGATGTAATATGTGTAGATGTTGTATAAGTGTTGTTGACTTATGTTGTTGCTATGTGTCGTTGTCTGATTTCCATGTTGTTCATGTAGATATATTTATATGTCTCTAGCTGCTTTTTTGTTTATAACTCACACTGGTATTGCCAATTCATCTGCAGTAAACTAGCATTCTCTTTGCATTTGTTTTATGATGTGTTGCCCCATGTTCATCGCACTAGCTGTTTTTGGTCCTTGTTATTGGTCTGTGTTGTTGCCTGCTCCCTTGCAGTTAAAAACTGTTGAAGTAGGTCTTGTCTCCACTAAATTCTCATTATAGAGCACCAA